AATAAATTTTGGGTATTTTCATTCATGAGTTGGCTTCTACCTTAAAAGGTGGTGGTCGTCGGGCAGTGCGTGTTCAGCGTTGTGTACGTCGCCATACTACCGAACAGAACGCGGCGCGACAACAACCGCCCTTTAACTGTATACTTTTCCGGTATATACCAATTTGATAATCTCGATTATTCCGGGATTCTATTGACTCAGAACTGCCATATGTTGATACAACCTGCTTCCGGTACAATTATAAATAAGTACATAGCAATAACACAATATTTTAGTAATACAGAAACAAAGTACTGGTAGTAGTTTGCATTTTGGCAAAGGATTGTGGGTCAGTGCGTCACGTGACTGAGTGTTAAAATGGCGTACTCCTTTGAATGAAAAAGAGAGGTCGTTCACTTGTTCATTCATAATTATGTTCTCAGCTTACCTGGGGGCGGTGTTTATATGTCATCTTTTAACATGACAACGCCTCGATGTAACTTATCTCTGCAAGTCGTTTCTGTTGGAAGCTATTTCAATCCAGATGCACTTCGGAAAAGGGAACGGCAACACAGCGACAACTACGAGAGGAAATCTGTCTGAATCGCGTCGTCTGCCATACTACAATTTTATTACGTGATGTGCATTTGGTGTGTAGCAGCATGGATGTACATCCATGGTAGCAGCTAGCTATGCCGTGATTTTTTTTGAAAAGGAGCGTAATTTCATCAACAGTAGACATAATCTGTTTTAATGACAGCAATTTCTAAATTGTTAATCGGTAACAGCGTAGATCGGTGTGTAAAGCAATCACAATTCAGTGAATGACCACTTCTGACGCTTTTTTGCTAAAATGGGAGATCTTATAAAGCTGATCGCATCGCGCAGGAACGTGAACCCAGTGATGAAAGATAGACGCAGCGCGACCGGACTGCGTGTGTAAGTAAACCTCGAAATCCTAAACCAACCATCATATATACTAACCGTTGCCACTTTAATATATTACGTGTGTGAATATGGCGCCCTACGAAACTCCCTTTGATAGCCGCTGTTTGAACGCTCTGTATAGATTATCTTGGCTTCTTATCCAGCCGTGCTATTGGTCTCTGAATCGGATGATTTCCTGCTGTGTTTCAACATCGGGCGATTTATCAACGCGTGGCGAAGACCCATGCTACGAACGATTTGTGTACCTTGTTGTTTTAATACCGACGTATTTGATAATTTTTCTGATTTTCACCCCGACTGCATTACTGGGTTTGTGTTCCTGGATTATCCTACAGCGATACAGACATCCATTTATTTACTCTTACTACGAATCGCAGTGTATTCTTGAAGACTGGACTGATATTTCTACAAGACAGTGTTTTCGTATCGGTTCCGCAAATATCTCCCTTTTACCTGAAGCAATAGCTAGGATGAATAATTTGGAATGTACCTACTGGAGAGCCAAAGAAATGGCCCATCGGTTAGCGAACTCTCAGCTGAGACCCAGACCCAAGATATTTATTGAATCTCCCTCAGATAATGAACTTGCAAGAAGCAGTTCTTTGTATAACCATATGCAAAACCATTACCAATACTCAGATGTAGTGTTGACAAATATGGAAAACCACACAAGTAAAGTGCACAGCCCAGACTGTGAAGATGTGCACATTGTATATAACAGTGGATACACTAATAATCATATTAATGGAACCAATTCTACTGTACGTAATGGGGGTATTGTCAAAAATAGCCAGACATATGACAGTATTCGATCTGATACTACACAAGACAGTGCCTATGTTGTTAACTCCAGGATGAAAAAATCACCAAGTGCCCCCAGCATGCCAGATGGCATCAGGCAGCCATCTCGTTCCTCCACGCATTCAGAATTTCAAGGTTCAGACTTTATGCCTATGGATTCAAATCCAAGCATTTCATTAAATGCGTGCGGATTAAGTTTAAGTGAAGATCAAAGTAACGGCGACTTTTCCCCAACTTTAGCCAAAGAAGATAGCAGAACGTTCAATGAGGGGTTTTCAAGATGCCAACATTCAGTGGAAATCAACTTCCCCTCACAGATTGATTTTATGTGTTTTCAAGAGGTTTATGAACCTAGTTCTGCGAAAGCATTTATCAAAAAAATCCATCCATGGTTCAGTCATATAATTTATGATGTTGGCATTAATTCTTGGGATAGTAATCTATTCATGTTGAATAGTGGTCTGGTTGTAGCCAGTAGATATCCAATACTAGATGCAGACTTCAAATATTTCACCCACTGCGCAAGAGAAGACAAAGCTATTTGTAAAGGACTGTTAATGACAAAGGTAGGTACAATATATTTATATTTGATTCCTGTTTAGTGGATATTCTAAACTATTGCCACTACAGTATTCAAGTA